CATTCATGAGTTCCTGAAAATGCACAAAGCCTGTGACAGAAAGAAAAAAAAAGCTCTGTTTTTTCCAAAGCCCATGTTTACTTCTTAACCCATCAACATTTCCTCTGCTACAGAGGAAACACAGTCCTTATTTACATCAACACCACTTTCTCCTACTGGAGCTAAAAAGAGTAAAATCGACCTCAATTACTCCTTAATTATGATCCAAAATTCCAAGGTATAAGGAGGTTAAGCATAAAAAGAAAAAAATGAACTTTTTCTTCAAACAGAAAAAAAAATATATAAAATCTTCCACTTTGTATGTTATTTAACGTGCACACTGTTTTAGGCTTCCACTCTAAGATTCATTATTTTTATTATTATTGAAGAATTGAATATAGAATATTCAAATATAGAATTGAAGAGTGTCATCCAGATTAGGACTCAATTTTCTCACTAGGTACTTATAATTTATATTCCTATATAAACATCAACATAAAAATCTAGATTTCACTGTTGAATACCTAAGATACCTCTGTAATATAAATGTTTATTGTAACTAGAAAAAAAATACATGTTTAAATTGTTATATAAAATTGTGAGATCTAAGAAGGGGTTTGACAAAGGCAAAAACTGCTGAGGAATTATAGCTCACATCTGACTTGAAACCTGAAACTAACATGATTTGTCACAAGTAAGAGGTTCTTTCTTCCACTGCCATGCAAAAATGCAAGAATATAAAAATTCTAGAAATACAGTGACCCAGTCTACAAAATATTATGAGTTATAGAATGACCCCATAAAAAGAGATTTTTTTTGCTATGTTATTTTAATGATGCAAGGTTATAAGTTATTGATTTTTACAAGATATAATCAATTAACACTTTTCTGCTGTTTATCTCATACACCAGAAGAATTTTGTGATTACTTTGGTACAGATTATTTATTGAATGTTTATTCTGTTTGCGCTATATCATTAGATAACTATTTAGAGAGAAGTTAAGATTTAAGAATTTGGATAAGTGGCACAACTATGAAAATTCAACAATCATAAATAATTTTATCAAAATTTCCACTTCATTGTATCGGTCTCCATAACTTTACATTTTCTGGTATCTGGCTGAATTTCCCCTAAGAGAAATGGCACAATTTCACTGAGGGAAATAGCAAAATGGACATCAGAGTCTGTGTTATAGTAAAACCATTTTGGAGTAATACAATTTTTCGATTTGAAAACCCCATACTTTAGCAATGGTTTAACTAACCGTATTTTTTCCTAGCAGTCAATATTTTCAATGCAGTTAAACACTACCCTTTAAATTAATCTCTTGTTGATTTATTGAAGACAAATTAGTTTGGTAGTAAATGTATGCCTCTGAAAAATACAACAAAAACCTACTACCAATTAAGTGCAGTATGTCATGCAAGCATTAAAGACAATGCTATTATAACATGATACAAGTTCTATTAGGATAAATAAGAGCTACAATTGTATTTAACTATAGCCCAGCTCTCTCAGGCACTTCCTGATCAGGAAAAGTGCAACTCTCTCTCTTGAAATTCAATTCAATTCTCTCTCTCTTGAAATTCAAGTACTTTGTCTTTTTCCCCTCTTTCTTTGTGACATAATAACTTTTCTGGTTCCAGTTAAAAAGTAAAATAAAAAATGTCAATAATATCATCAACAGGGAAAAATATTAAAGCCTTTTTTAAAAATGAATCAGGTGCAGATATTGAACTGTACTTTCTCATCCTTTGTCTCACTTTTCAAATGATAATTTCTTCCACAGTCACCATTAAATCTTGATCTATTCCAGCTCTCTGTATGGGTCATTGATTCTAGATGTACCATGGTTATTTTTAAATGTTTCCCTTTCGTAGAGAAAAAGAGGGCTGTCTAGAGCCAGATGGGTAACTTCACACTTCATTTATCAAACCCAATGCATTAGACTCCACCCTCTCTTTCCCACTATTGCTGTTAAATTTCCATATAATTTGGTAACAATTTTCATTATCATAGAGTGACCCTAAAAAGTCTATCCAGGTTTGCACGGTTAGTCCAAAATTCACAGCTGTTCCCTTCACCCTCTGTTTATTACAGTAGAATCTGAGGTTCCCCTCACTTTATAAGCTGAACAGTGACCTTCTGTAAGCAGAGGTCAAGAAGGGGTCAGTTCAAAGGGCTAGAGCAGCTCTTTAACAGCTATAACAACCTGTCCATCAGGCATTATCACACAGTATAAACAAATCTGGGGCTTTGGAAACTCTGGACCATTTCTGTTAACACTCAGAGGACATTCACTGAGTCCTACCTGAAGTATTTTGGATCACTACCACTCAGAGAACAACTTGAATCCCTGGAAGACCTGCTCAGATACTTAAGATACTGATGACATCTTTGCATCACAAGTCTATGAAATGGTGAGTGCAACACTAAGCACACTTCCATGAGTTTTGGGCTGTGAAGATGAAATAAAATCTTAAAGAGTCATTTCAGCTCATTAATATGCAGAAACACTGGTACAACTTCGAGTAAATAACACAATAATATGCTTTAACTCAGTAGGTACATACCAGAAGAGTTCATATTCCTTTCTCTGGGAAAGGCTAAAAATTTCCAAAAGTTCAGTCAGTTTGTGTTACCAATTCCCAACTTTTTTTTTAATGTCAGGTGTTAATGACACAAATAAAACACAAGAAAGAACAGAATGACTACATAACTCTACAAAGACCAATTGCAGAGTGAAGATTTCTGCCAGCTGCCCTCCCTTCATTGACCTAAATTTCTTGAAGTTGTACTGTTCATAATCTGCTCTCTAATGCACAATGTAAGGTAATTAGAGTCATCTGTATTTAACTTCCACAGGAAAAAATTCTATTATCTAATCTAGCTGATCCCCTGATAGCCTGTTGAAAGTAAAGCACTGTAACCTATTGCCTGCCCTTTGACAAGTGCTAATTATTTCCTGTCCAAGCACATTTTTCTCATGTAATTCCAAAGTACACAATAGACTGATCTCTAAAACATGGACAGGCCTGCTCGTACCACGGCGGACGTTTTATAACTTTCAGCACCGTGTGCTCCATGGCTGCCACAGCCAGTGTTTCATTCCAGACAGCGAGCCGAGGCTTTGATGGAGCCAAGTGAGGTGTATGGTAACAGTCTCTTTACACAGATCATATGGATGAGACTCCCAGATAGGTCACTGGGATGGGAAACATCAAATAGAAAGAAAAAGGATTATGGATATTTAATACTCAAAGGACACTTTCTTTCAGAATTTTCAAGGCACAATGCTCTTGAAATTTTCTTTCAGGTGTTTAGTTTTAAGAAGGCCTGCACTTCATCTGCTTGTGCCTCTCCCACCCCCAAGAGCTGCAGCTTTGCTGTGTTAGAGGCTGGGCTACGTCTCCAGCTGCAGCCCTGGCTCCAGCCCCAGAGCTCCCTGTGAGCAGCAAGCGAGGCCAGGCGCACTGAAACCCACAGCACTTCTAAATTACTCCTTATTGCCATGATTGCTGATGACTTTGTGCATTAGGAAATCATTGTTAGACAAAATGAACTCTAAAAAGGTATTCTGCTCATTAGAAGCTTTCTGTTCTGTTTCACAACGAAGATGCACATGTCCCACAGAAAAGCTTAAAGTGATTTCCTGTTTCCAACATAGCTCAAACATTTATGTTTCCAACATAGCTCAAACATTATTTAGTAAGCATGGTGATGGAAGGCAAAAAAACAACTCCCCTCACCGAAAAACCCAACCAAAAGAAACAAAAAAAAAAATCACCAACAAAACCCCCATAAAAATCCCTTAAAATATTCGAGAAAAAAAAAAACCAAAACATAAAGCCCACATGATAATATGGAAAATATTTTAGAGCCAGCTTACTCTGAAATCTTAAATGCGCAGCATACAAACATTACATACTCACTGGAACACAAACTTATAAAACATAACCTGTAATTTGTAAAATAATTATGTGTAATTATGTTCGATTTTTAGCTAAAGTCTCTAAATTGTTCCAGATTCATTTGCTGTAATTATTTGGAGCAGAAAAGATACCCAAGTGTCAGACCCAAAATATACAGATAACATTTTAAAAGCAATCTCAGAGTCTTCAGGAACTACGCCTTTAATTAGTGCAGGTAAAAAAATCATGCCAGTTGAATGCTAAACTTAAATAACAATACACTGATTTAAAAATACTTTTGGCTAAAACCTGTATTTAACTGTAAGGAATATCTCCTGGTTTTAAGTAAAAGCTGCATATTTGGCAGAAAAATTTAATAGGCTGCTAGATATTTTATATTAATATCAAATAAGAAAATTATAAGTGATTAAAAAATAAGTATCAACCTATAGCTTTTAGACATAGATGTGAAAAAGGTGACATCAACTCATTTAGCAGCCTAAGAGAAGGACAAGGTGGAACATGGTGGAAATCCTCTTTCATTCACCTGTTTCTGAACAAACTAAAAGTATGGCGTATCTGGTGCTTCCGAAACGCATTCAGCTGACCACATTCCAGTAACACAAACCTTTCCAAACACAAATATGAACAATTTTTAAACACTACAAATAGCATCTCCTGATCCATGGCAGTGAGCTCTCCTTAAGAACTGGGAACAGTAAAATAAGAGATGAACTACAGCGGTTCATACACGAATGCCCATCTCACCCAACCATCCAGTTACCTCCAGTAGGACACCACAGGGAAATGGGAGGAGCACGAGGGAAGCAGCCAGGAAGTGAAGTTTCAGCAGAGCATTCCAGCAAAGAGAATGGCTCATATTGTCAGCAATACGTGGAAAACCTGAGGGCATTTTATGGCACCACTCCTCAGATCCTAGTGCTGCCTACCAAGCACAAAGTAGCCTGTACTGTATGAGTAAGGGAGCAGTCTACCCCACAGAAACATGGATTATCCCATTCAAGGAGTTACTGTTTGAACAGAAATTTTTTTTTAAAAAATTAAGTCACTTTTCCCCACTCAAGGGGATTTATAGGAGTACTTCTCACCTTGCTCTCCATTCTTTACGCAGCTTTTGTCTCTCCTTAAGAATGAGCAGGAAGCAGCTGATGGTCTCATTCCTTTGTTCCTCAATTTGTTGCTCTTTTCTAACCTCAGAGAGGACCAGACTTGTCTTAAAGGGAGGAAACACATAAAAATTATAATCTAGAAACAGGAAACAATGTGTAAAATTAATAAAAAGCCCATAAGCAAATAAGGACAGTAAATCAATAGCTTTTTTTATTACAGTTCCACTGCTGACAAATCAATACAGTAAATGATGGTTAGAAATAGCCACCATATATTTGGTATTTAATCAATATACATGGCACATAAGGTAAACCTTAAAATCTCATTGCCTTAAGTATCATACTAAGACACTGTGCATTCTAGCCCACATTTCCTTGAGGCATAGTTATTTTCTAAATATTTTCTTGTATCAAACAATATCAGAAGTATTTTCCTCAATGTAGCATTTGTTTGGGGGACTTCACCCTCCTCTTTGCTCCTTGGTAAAGCTGTTGAAGAAAATACCTGTTTGTACTGTACATGCTGAATGGAATTTCTGCTGATGTCCACATGTTCTTTTTATCATTAAATACTTCAAATAAATAAGTAATAAAGACTTTTCACACATGCAATAGATTTAAAACTGCTCAAAAATATACATATATACATGCAATGGATTTAAATAATCTGTGAAGCAGGATGACACTCAGTCTCTGCAGAGCAAGTGTTACCACAATTAAAATTGTTAGAGCAATTAATGTTGATGTAAGAGAACTGGGGATGTTCTTATCACCCCCCTTCATCCTCCCACCAAGCTAATTCCAACTCTCTCACTCCATCTTTTCTTACTCACTCCTGCACCATTTTTTCCTCTTCCTTCCCTGCACTTCCCCATGTCTGCCAAGCTGGGAAGGAAATGGTTGATGCTCAGCTACCAACCAGTCCTACATCCACCAGTGCCCACTCCATGTGCCAAGTGTCTCCACAGCATAAAATGAGAGTCTTTTCCTAAAGGGAAGATATTATATCACCTTTTCACCTTAATTATTTTTGATATTCTAACCTTCAGTCACAAGTTCTGTAAACATATCAAAGCATCTAAATGCTTTTAGGAAGGGTGACAGAACAGATGGAATTCTTGCACAAACCTGTTTTCTTTTTAATGAAAAGGAGGCAAAAGAAAAAGTTTCTGACCTAGGAAGTTGCGCATGTGGGTTTGAAAAGACAACCAAACATAACCAAGAAGTGCAATTCCTATTCCCAGCATAACCTTCCTTATTAGAACAATGTGAAAAAACACATGGCATTTTGCCTCCTCCTCAACGTCACATACACGTTACATTCTGTCTTGCCCAACTAAAATTCCTCTAGGTATTCTGCAAGAGAAATTATTGCTATTATCTTCAGTTTGTGAAAACTGAGAGATCTAGCCCCATTCTGATAGGGTTTTTTTTTTTTCCACAAGAAACAATAATACATTTCTTAAGCTATTAACATAGCATTGTTATTGCTATGGTTGTTCCAAGAGAGAAGCATGACAGCGTTCACAGAGACAGAAAATAACTTTATTGCACCAACATCACATGCAAAGAACAAAAAGCATTTTTCTCCCCATCTCCCAGTTCTATTAGCTAGCCTACCAAAAGGCATTACCCCATCATATGGGATTTAAACATCAAAAAGAACATTTTCTTGTAAAAACCCCAAATGTTCAAAACTCAGTCTATACAGATCACATTCCTGACCCTGCTTTGACATTACAAAGCAAACATAAAGCCAGAGAGCATTTTCAGATAAGGATTCCATGACATGGGTTTCCTTGCACTGACCTACAACATCTTTTCCACAAGCTGTAATATCTGCCAACTTCAACAGTCCTGACCTTAGAGCCTCATTTCCAGCAGCTGCACAGTTTGAAGCAGGATTTGATAGAGGACTTCAGCAAGTGAAACACACTCAGATGAGCTGATGTACATTCTTTAATGGTGAAAATTAGCACTCCTTGTCATTCATAATAAATATACCTACTACAGCTTTAATTTTTATACTTATCATGTACAAGACTTGGCAGAGCACTACAACCAGAGTTTACCTCTGTATTATAGGATGATCACATTGCAGCCATACAGTTAGGCCACTGTCCACCACTATTTCCCTTTCAGAATGTTTGGATAGCCATTTTATTCACAGAGGGACAGGAAAATCCACTGGTGATGGTGAGATGTTTGCTTCTTCTCAAGACTTCAAGAAAGTGTCAAGTTTAATGATGCCATGCCTCATAAAGCTAAAAGTACAGTTATTTGCTGCAAAAAATATCAATATCTCCCAAATAAATGATTCAGAAAGTTCAGAGCATGGAAAACAGGGAGTTGCTAAAGAATTTCCAGATAAAAAAGATTATGTCAATATAGCATTTATCAGTCAGAGATGGGTGATCACTTCTCCAAGTATTCACAATCACACTGTATGTGATATGGTATGAAATCTGTTGACCTGGTCAAATTGCAGCGTTGGTCCTGAGTTTCATTAAGAAAAGTTCCCTCCATCTACAGAGACATCATAATTCCAGAAACTGAACATAATTTATTTTTTACTGAGAATATAATAATTTTGCTCCAGCCTTCTGTTAACACCTTTCATTTATGTGGTGATGTACATGGCTCAAGTCAAATGCATAGTTTGACACTGACATCATAAACGCTTCTTTATTGAGCCCTGTGAGTACAGTCACAACTACCTGGAGGGTGAAATAGTATTATTAAGCAACATACAACAACAATACATAGCAATTTAACTGATTTACTTGTTTTCTAAGAGTGCTGAAAGGGCAGTAAGGTCACCTTGAATGCCAGTGCAGGGCTTGATGTGTAGCTTTTATAGAGGCATTTCTTAATAACTTGCTATTCTTATAATCGTAATAAAATTCTTGAATTGTAACAAATAAAGTATCATTCTGGGTAAAATAATATTATAAAGCATGTTCCTTTGCAAGTTGTCTTTTCCATGTAACATGTTTTGGGATTTATTTTTAACAAGGGGATTCAATATATACTTTAACTGATAAAGGTCAAGGGTTCAAGAAACTCGGTCAAAGATGTTATCAGCTGGGAAAGCCATTTCCTCACATCAACACGGATAAAAACCCATCAGAAACCCGGCTGATACAACCCCTGCTCTAAAGAGCAGGAATGACCTTCTTTTGAACATCACTATAGTTGCACATCCCATCAAAGAAAATCTGATCTTGTGTCTCAATTCTTTTAATGACAGATAATTGCCTGCAGAGGCCCCCTTTGCCCAATGCTGAGTGAAGCCTTCACAATTCTGAACTGGACTCAGCACTGACTCAGGTTTTCAGCACACTTGGGACAGCAGGACAGTAGAATAAATAAACAATGCAACCAGCCCTGCAGCCTGTCTTATCTCATCCTTGTGTTCACAGAGATTCTTGAGGGTGGTAATATTTACAAACTGGTGAAACTTTCTTTCTTCTGCTTCCTGAGCTGTCAAAAAACATATCCTGGACAACCTAAGCAATGAGATTACACAAATTGCTTATCATTTGTGGGAAGCAACTCTTTGTCTCATTGGCCAGCATACCTCTTTAATAAGCAGTACTGCTAGTATTTTCAGTACATCTTACCCAATTCTCTTACATTAGGGCTTTCATTGTAAAACCCAAATGGCACAAGTCTTAAAAACAAAGAGCTCAGCTCTCAAAAAGCCTAAAGTTATACACACACACATATATGTATATGTACACATGCAGCAGGAGCAAATCCAGCCTTTCACATTAAATACAGTATTTAGGAAACTGTACTCTCTGCCTTCCTCCTGGTACAGCAGCAGAGCTAAATTTAGGCATATCAGGCAAGAGCCATCAGAGCATCTTCTCTCATATAAGAAAGGAAGATTCTAAGATTAGATTTCAAAAGACCAACACCCTATTTCTCTCATTATCACCAACAAAATTTATCAGTGATACAGGATTGAATATAAGCTGTTATAACCAAGTCTTTCTATTCACCCAGGATACACACACAAAATTAGACACCTAACAAAGCCAATCTAGGTATTTTCACAGGTTTATAATAATATCTTTTCCTTATATACACAGCACAAGAAACTGTTTTAACATCCATAGGCCACTACCCCGCTGAACTGTATGTCCTGGGTGAATATCACAACATGCCTACAAACAAGTAAGAAAAACCAACATCTAAACATTCCAAACCCCTCACTAATATATTTTCAATCTTATAAAGCTAGATTTTTTCCTTCCTTCAATACAGACCCCATGAGGAGTCAGACATAAGGTTAGAAACACTGTATAACTGGAGACATGAAGCTTACTGTTCTGTCAAACAAATTAGCCTTTAGTCTGAACTAAAGTGGCACTTGGGACAGTTTGCTTCTTGGTCTACTTTGATGGGTCAACAAATCAGATTTTTCACTCAAAGTTTTGATTTACTCATCACCAGTTTAAATACGATAAACTTCTGAATCTTTATCAACCATTTCTACTTTAACATAGCAGTCATCTCTAAAAAATCAATAACTAATACAGAAAGGAAAAACAAAGAGTAAAATCTGTAAGTACAGTTAAAATGTTATTCTGTATTTTCCCTGTTATTTTTGTCATTTTATTTGCTTTCAGTGAAAGAAGTTTCCTGAAGAAATTCAATTAGAGGGGAGGGAAAAAGAACCTGAAATCTATTAAGCCATGTTAATTTAACATGTTGTAACTCCTCTATGATAAAAAAAGCTAGTAATTGACTACAAAATCCTGCTCATTTCTTCTTTACTTTTAAAATTTCTACTTAAAATACGAGCAAATGGGCCCATTTTCATTGATACGATGGAAACAGCCAGTATGGTTTAAGTTATCACCCGGTAATTTCAGCACATTAAATCCAATTCTCTGCCTTTTGTTTATTAATTCACTATGCCAGATATCACAGTTTCACTCAGCAACCCTCATGTTCTGGATGATATTGAAAAATGAGTCATGTTTGTCAAAGAAAGTTAAAAAAAAAAAAGGTAAAGAGGAAAAAAGTGTTGTTTATAGAAGCCAGCTGCTCTGGCTTCGGCGCCAGCAGCTCTTCATCCTGCTATTTTACGCTC